GGCCCTATGGTTGTAGTTCTTTAAATTTTATGGGGGCATGTTAAAATTGATTAGAGCGACACTGCTTAAGATCCTACGGTTCCCTCATTCCGGGACCACTATTTTTTATTGGATTCACTTAGTCCAAATGAACTTACTAAACTCGACATAATGAGTTTCATAATTTCATTTAGACCATGGGAAGCCTCGTTAGTAACCGTAGGATACCTCCTCTGAGGGATTCCCAATCATCCAATAGTGACGTCTTAATTTAGTTGCAATTGTAGTTTTGTGTGGTGTTTGTGATTAAATTTTGAGTTGTTTTACATTTTGAATGTTGTGGGGGTGAATTTTATCTTTGTTGATTTTAATTTTAGTTTTTGGTTTTGGTTTTGGTTTTCTGGCTATCCTGATAATTTTAGTTTTCCATGCAAATTTGTATAAGCACAAAAGTATAACATAAAAGTATAAGAAAGACAACGCTGCAAACTATAAAAGCGTACCTGGCGAGTCTTCTCGTTCCACCACCTGAAAATTAAAATAGATGTTAAGGCAATTTATGGAGAGCAGGAGAAAGTAAAGTTTTGATAGTTTTCCTAACCCTATGTCATATTGTGGTGGGTCCTTAGGAGTTTAATTAAGGATGATTTTGTCAAGAAAAACATATTAAGTTTAGTAGAGCTTCAAGATATCCAACAGATCTAAAGAAAGAAGCAGGTCCGTGCTACTCTCTCGCTGCCTGATGGAAAATCCTGAGTTTTTTTAAACTGATTATGTTGCTTAATAAATCATCCTGTAAATATCCTTATTACTCAGTGAACATTAATGTCTCATTTATCCCTAAGAATAGGGTAATTATCACTTGTGATTCAATTTAAGAATTATGTGGGTGAAGACCCTTAAAGAGGCAAGTTAGTGTCGTTGGAACACTTAGTCAAATTTTAACCCTAATTGGGCTTGTAGTGTTTTAAAGATGTTTTAATTTTCAATGATATTTACTATTGTAATCCTCATTTCAATGAAACTTGATTAAGAAAATGAGATTGGTTTCTACCAATTAACCCTCTTGTGTTTCAAACATCAAATAGATTGATTAATATCAGAGGTTACCCATTTCCATCCTTAAATTAAGCCAAATGTTAATTAAGGCTAAATTTCCCAAATTACACATTTGCCCTTAAGGCTCTATCACTTCATAATTTATCAAATTTAATCCAAATGAATTTGGAATTTTTATCTTACCTCATTCACGGGTCAATTAAGACATCAGAGGAGAAAATGTGATTTTCAAAATTTAATTTAATTTATATGATTATTTTCATGCAAAAATAGGATTTTTCAAAGAAAATTCCTAACTTGACCAAGGTACGTCCTAATCCCTTAAAATTTTTATCAGAGGTAAATTTAGACTAGGGAAACCGTTGGAACAAATTTCATGATTTTTTAAATTTTATTTAATTTATTACACCTATTTTAAGTTCTAGGGTATTTATTAAATAGAAAATATTTTAAATGGATAAAATTAAGTTTAGTATTTTTTAAAAGTCTCTCTAATGTCAGAGAACTCAGGGGAGAAGATTTTATATTTTTATGAATTTTATTTGATTTATTGGAATTATTTTAATGAAAACTCATTTTTAGCCTTTAAAAATCATTTTTAAGCTTTAAAATTCAATATCTTTATTTAGAAAATCAGGAAAAATATTCTAATTGTTCATAAGTCCTTAAGAAGCCATTTCAAACATTTCCATGAGTTTTATTATTTTTGTTATTTTTATGGATTTTTAATTGTTTTAAATATTTAAAAATGGGCTAAAAATGAAGTTTTTATTTTAAATGTTATTTTTTTTTTACAAAATACCTATAAATACCCCTGATCACAGAGAATTCAAAAAACTAAGTTTCATAATTTTTTGAGTTGTATTTAGATTTTTTAAAATCATTTTGGTGCCAAAAATGTTATTTATCTTTAAAAATCAACTTAGGTTATTAAATGAACTCAAAATATTATGAAATTTTTATAATGAGTTCTCTGGATCCTAAACCACAGTGAAGATAAAAAATAAAGTCATTTAAATGTTTGTATTTTCCAAAACTAATTATCTTAATAATTTAGTGTTCCCGAAAATTAAGTATATTTTAAATGACTTGACCCATGGAATTATTTCCAAAAGCATCTCTGGTCATTGTGGACCTTTCAAAATTTTCTTGGAATTTTCTAGTCAACATGCTAATTTCCATGGTTATTTTAAGGAAATACTAATAATTTTCTAGTCAACATGCTAATTTCCATGGTTATTTTAAGGAAATAATGTGCAAAAACTTGAAAAATATGGATCTCTATATAGGGACTTCCTCTGACTTTGAAAAAATGTCAATTGTCCCAAATAAATTTTGCATTTGGTGTAAATGATCATAAGGAAAAAGTGATAATTACCAGGGGGAGGTGGCTAGGAGCTCAGGGAACCCAGAGGAATATGTGAGAGCAATTTAGTGCAATAATACCTAATTTTGGTAAGGATATCTTAAGCACATGCATTTTTTGAATTTTGGAAATAATATCCCTTGATTTTGAGGACCTTTGGTCCATGACTTGATTTAAGTGTTTTCATGATGCTGGTCACTAGGGTCCAACTAATGGTTGTGGAGTCATTAATTTGGTGACTTTGGGGTAGTTAGGCCATGTTTAATGCATGGGTTCAATGTGGGTGCAAATGACCAAAACTTGGGTTTGGGCTAGGTCAGCCATGTCAATTGGCCCAAATTAATGTTGAATTTGGTGTAGAAGATCATAAGGAACAAGATCATAAGGAACAAGTTTGGTCAGGAACAAGTTTGGTCAAGAATGGAAGTGGTTTTGAGCTCAATTGAGGGGTCAATTTGAGGGAATTTTGACTTTAAGTAAATTTGGTCATATTTGACTAGGCTTGGGTCTAGCTTGGGTTAGCCTTGGGCTAAGTCCAAATTGATTATTGTAAATGATCAATAGTGACCCTATGAAGAGTATTCAACATTAATTGGATGACAATTTGGGGGTTAAGGCAATCAATTGGGTAAAATTTGGGGACTTAGCCAATTTGGGGCTAAATTTGGGAATTTTGGATTTAGGCCAAAATCAAATGGATTTGAGGCTTCACCAAGGCCAATTGATGATTTATTTTAATGTCTAAGAATGTTATAAAGATTTTTCAACATTAATTGGGGCCAATTGACTAGGCTATAGGTTCAATTTGGTGAGATTAGGTCATATGGTCAAAATTGGGGTTTTGACCTAAATCAAAATTGGGCTCAAATAATGTGCCAATTAAGCTTGGATTTGGTCTATATTTGTCATATAGAGAGTTAATTTGAGTTTAGAATTGAATTTGGGGTCAATTGAGATCAAATTGACGGACATTTGGGTTGAATTTGAGGAAATTTGGGCCCTCAAAGGCAAATTTGGTGGTTTTGGTTAAAGGTGGTCAAATTTGCCAAATTAGGTCAAGTGGTTGTGAAGAAAAATGAAATTGGGAATATTTGGGATTTATTGAAATTTTTTGGAAACTTTTAGAATTTTTGGATTTTTGGGCTATGGAGAGGTAATCTGGTAATTTGGGGATGTTTAATGGTAAAAGGCCAAGATGGGTATTTTGGTAGAGTTGAGGTACCAACCATCACCAATAAGCCATGGACCAATGGAAACCCCATTTTGGGTCCTCTACATAGTGGTATTAGTCAAACCATAACCCTAGGGCATGTAGGTTTAGGGGACCATCTACATGAGTATCCAGAAAAGATCAAGGGACCTAGGCTAGAAAATTGAGTTTAGGGTTGTGAGTGAATGTGAGTGTAGTTGAGTGTAGTGAGTGACTTAGCTCCAGACTAACACTCAGGGTCAATCCTATGGTCCAGCAGTCCTAAGGGTGACTCATCTTGAGTTTTCCCTTATAGTGACCTGACCTACTAAGTGTTAGAGGTTAGGACCAATATGTGGAACTTCAAGTTGAGTAAAGAAGATGGTAGAATTTCTAATGGTGAGGGTTCCATGTCTAGTTTTCTAAGAATAGTCAATAAGAAAGTCCTATGGCTAGACCTTAGCATACTAAAGAGGAAAAACTTTACCTCAACCAAAAGTGAGGTCAACAGTATTGTAACTATGTTGGGCTTTAAAACTAAAAAATATTCATTCATAAAAGTCCACAGTTAGCATTCCTCTCTTAACTCGGGGAGCCATTTAAAAATTCTACAAAAATCCAAATATAGTCCAAATAAATTACTAAATCAAAAATCTGACTCCTCAAGCAAGGTTATTTGGTAAGAAATTTATAACCATGAGTTTTCTTCAAGTTTTTTTCATCAAGAATTCCAAATTTTGGATCTCCCAAAATCCATGGTGAAAATAAAAAACATGTAAATTAAAGTGAAGTTCTCACCAAGAGAAGATGAAATCCATGCTTTTTAGCTTCCAAATCCTTCTCTATCACCCATAATGTTATGCCCTAGACTGAGGTCTTGAGGAAGAAGATGACTCAAGCAACGAAAATGGAGTTTGTCCATGCAATTTTGGGGTTTTCTAGGCAATATAGCATGTTCGGACCTTTGGCGCTTCATGCGCCAAGGCTCTATAAGTTGGCACATCATGCTCCAATCTGATGCATCATGCTCTAGAGCTCAAATTTTCTAGATTTCACAAACGCCAGAGCTTAAATTCACCAGATTTTGGTTTCTGTTGAAATCTGCTTCGTACTGCTTTACGTCAACTTCTATTTGGCTTAAATAAACCTTTTTAGGCATATATAAACATCACACTAACGCCAAAATTTCACAAAAAACACAAAACTCTCTCACACACACAAATATATATATATATATATATATTTGGAAGTAGCATTATTTGGCTCCCTACATGTTCGTCATGTAAAGTAGTACAAAATTTCCAAAGGAGGGGTCCTCAAATAAAAGGAGGAAGACCAATCCTCAAAATTGCTTACAAGAGAGTAAAACAACTAAATAAAGAGAAATAAGGGAGAAGCCCCAGGACACTAAATCTCTTTTAGTTGACTAGTCTTGAGTATGAGGTGAGGAGTCTTCAGCTTATCACCATGGAGTGAGAGGGCAAGAGGGGTAGGAGGTCTTGTATCAACAGAAATGGAGTTTGCATAGATTCCTTGTCTGGCCAGCCAATTAGCAGGTTGGTTTCCTTCTTTATATATGAAAGACATTTGGACTGTGAACTTCTTGTAAAGTTTGCCAATTTTCTTCTTCCATTGCATATGATGCCAAGAGGATAGCTGATCAGTGGTAAGCAAGGTGATCAGCTGTAAAGAGTCTACCTCATTCCACACTTTTTGCCATGTTATTTTCTGTGCAAATGTAAGGGCCCAGTAAACAGCAATGAGCTCAGCTTCAAGAGCATCATTAGCCACTGTAGGAGCATGAAAGAATAACAGATATCTGCAGGAGGAATTTCTGAACCCCCCACCCCTGCACCCCATTTAGAGAAGCTACCATCAGTGTTAATTTTCATGGTTTGAAAATCAGGAGGTTTCCAAGAGAGTCTCAATTCTGTTGTGACTATTGATGGCACTTGTCTGAGACAAACTTATGCTTGGGAAGTATTTAAGTTGGATTAGCTTGTTAAAATAAGAAACACAGTTTCTAGTCACCCTAGTGTGTTGAGTAATCTTATCTTCATGTTTGTTGTTGTTCCTACACATCCACAAGAACCAAGCCAAAATGAAGGGGATAGACTCCCCTTATTTACTTTTCTAGCTATGCCAACCAGCTTTAAGCCTAGACCAATCTTTATCCAAGTTCTCACCTTTAATCTTAGTAAGGAGTTCTTTCCACACCTCTTGAGCAAACTCACAATTGAAAAATAGGTGGTTATTATTTTCTTCAAATTTCAGACAGAGATAGCATCTAGAGGGTCCTCTCAAACCCTAAGTTTAAGAATGTCATCAGTTAGCAGGAGGTTGTTGAAGAATCTCCAATAGAAGAAGGATATGGAAGGGGATAGAAATCTGTTCCAAATGGCTTCACCCCAATTGACCTTATCGCATTCACTTAACTTAGCATATATAACTTTAGTCAAGCTTTGGTTAGTGTAGCTGTGCCATATGATCCTATCTTTTCTTCCTTTATCAAACACAGTCTTAGTGACTAGAGATAGGTGACGCTCCTGTAGAATGGATTGGAGCTTAGGAACATCCCAGGAGTCCCCATCCCACGCAGAGGTCATAGCCTGAGAGTTGAGGGTTAAAGTATGAAGGGGAGGGCCCAAGCCAGTTCTTTAGGCACCAGTTGTCAAGCCAAAAACTTACTTTGCCATTCCCCAAATCCCATGTGTACATGTCTTCCTCTAGCTCTCTGATTTTCAGCATATTAGTCCAGATTCTGGAGTCCTCCAGCTTCTTGGTAATAAGGGAAGGATGCTGGCCCTTGCAATACTTGCCATAAATGAATTTGGCCCACAGAAAAGATTGTGTTCTGAAGTGAATCCATATCTTCCAAAAATTTATTTATGCTACTTGTTGGAGACCCTTGAATTCCAGCCCACCAGATGCAATTGGTTTGGCTACCTTCTGCCATGAAGCCCACTGTAGCTGCTATCTTTGACTTGCCCATAAGAATCTGTTGAATGCTCTCTCCAACTAAATTTGGGTGCTTTTCTTGAGGTAGTTGGTTTGGAGAATAAAAGTGGGAAGGTAGTTAAGATGCTTCTAAGGAGAGTAATTCTACCCCCATTAGACAGAAAAGAATGAGACCAGCTAGATAGAGTTTTCTGTATTTTCTGCAATACCTCATCAAATTAGGTCATTTTTTATCTCCCCCATATGAGTTGAGCCCCCAAATATTTCACAGGGTCCCT